CTTGGAGTTTGTAGCTGGATTAATGGGGAATAACCTCATACCAATTATATTGGGTATCGGTTCATTTCCAATGACTAAATCAACAAAAACCAAGCAAGTTTAATCCAAATTTGACAATCAATTTAAGACGCACATTTTTATCTTGAATATCGTATAGCTATTTGCATATAAATGTTGTGGTTAGGTTATCAAATTTTAGCAGGAAGAAAATCAGTTTCCATAGGTTATGCATTCACAAGTGTTCCATATTCCATCATTTCATTTTGACAGTGAGTTGGGAATCCAAAGTGGTGCTTTCGGAGGATACATTGAGGTACAATACATCAACAAATATATCGTTCACATTCAATAGCTAGACTACGACCGAATCCACAAGCAAGAAAGGCTCCACTACGCCGTCTCCGGGCTGCTCATCGTTCCCGCTGCTATCGCTGTCTGCGCCGTCCACCAAGTTTGTCGACACAAGACCGATGCCCGATGGGTGCTTGCCCTTTTGGCTTTTTTTCCGCTTCTTGGCCCGCTTCCCCTGTAAGGCGAGCTTTCGTTTGGTGGCCGCCTTGCGCTCTTCCACAGTGGCGTCGATTTCGCTGAGCAACGACAAGGTAAGGATGCGTCCTCCAACGTCAATCGTTTTTCGACCAACTCGTTTTTTCCCCTTGCCCGGAAGACAAAGCACTTCCGTTCGAATTGCCTCCTGATGTACCAACCATGTCGCATGAACGTAGGACTCGGGCGATCCTCCGCCTTTGAACAAGTTGAACCGTTGCATCATGTTATCGAGCGACACCGGGAAAATCCCAGCGGTCTCAAAACCGCTCACAATGTTTTTCGGTAACATGTGGGTCAGCCATGCAGTAGATGCAATACGAAGCGCCGTCGGCTTGGAAATGGTGTGCAGGTCTCCCGTCGCTATAATAAATAAGGTCATTTATTTATCTCAATAGCTCAATAATATAGATAATCATACTGTCGTTGACCATTTCGTTGAAAATAGCTTGCCGGATCGCGCTTTTGTATGGCCCAAATACGCACACATCGAGCGGCTGAAAGAGATATGTGGTATTCGAGGGCAGACACAGCAGGATCACGTGTAAGCTTCTGGCCAAATCAATGATATGACGTGAATAGTGTGATGATAACCCGTCAAACACCAACAACAAGTGACGTCTAATGCTTGGGTCCACGGCACCTAATATATATAATATTAGTAACACTTGGCGTGATATGAACATACCACATAAATATACACATATTTTATGATAACGTTATCAATAACGTTATGATTGTTTAGACATATTACTTACAGTACAACGTAGTAGTAAATATTAACATATATTTATGAATTTACAGATATATACCTGCAAAATAAGCATAAATATACATACTACGTAGTATATCTATATAACTATTACGATATATTACAGAGTAGTAGTAAGTATTAACATATAAATATTTATGAATATACAGATATATACCTGCAAAATACTCCAACCATGTAGTAAACATGAATTCGTCCATAAAGCCCTTTGGAGACGTTGAGACTGACGCGCCAGGGACTGTGCACTGTAGCCCAATTGCTTTTTCCACGGTCTCGCCAGGCAAAAGAAACAGTGGTGGGATCCATGTCCCTAATGCACTGCCACAGGCCACG